ATTCTAATACTCTGTCCATAGAATATTTTGGGTTTTCTATGCATACAATCCTGTCACCTGCAAATACTTAGTTTTGTTTCTTCCTCTCCAATCTTCATACATTTTATTTCTTCTCCTTTTCTTACTGTGCAGGTCAAGATCTGGCGTATCACTAAAAGGTAGCAGAGATAGCTGTCATCGATTGTTCCTAATGTCTAAAATGTAGGGTGCTAATGTTTATACTTCAGGATGTTTATTACAGGTTTTTGAAAGATAACCTGTATGAGAAATTCTAACCTATCCTTGGTTTGCAAAGAGTTTTTGTTGTTAATGATTATTGAATTTTCTGTATCTATTGAGATAACCATATACCTTTTCTCCTTTAATATGTTAATACGATGAAATACATGAATAGGTTTTCTGATGTTAAAGCCAAGTTTGCGTTCCTAGGATACATGCAACGTGGGATGATGTATAATGCTTTTCATATTTTGCAGGATTCTATTTGTTAACGTGTTATTTATTGTTTTTGCATCCATGTTGATGGATGAGATTGGCCTATAATCTTCCCTTTTTCATATGTTTTTGTCTTGTTTTGTTATGAAAGTGATTCGAGTTTCCTAAAACGAATCAGGCGGAGCGTTTTCTCCTTTGCTATTCTCTGGGAGTTTTCGTGTAAGACGCAGATGCTCTGTTCTTCGAATGTTTGTTAGAGCTTCCCTTTTAAGTCATCTGAGCCCAACGTTTTCTTGGTGGGAAGATTTTTAATTACAGAGGCTATTTTCTTAGATGTTATTGCACAATTCAGGTGTAGAATTGTAGATAAGAAGTTGTCAGTAGGGGAGGGTTCACACTGAATAATAACACGATCCTGTACTCGAATCGCCTTTCTCTTGGTTCGTTTATGTAACAGAATCTGAAGTTCTGGGTCCCCGACTTCAAGCTCTGAATCCTCATAGGAGGCTCCGGATTGACAACAAACCCGACTCACATCCCAATTTTCCTCCTGTTAATCGCCTCTTCCCCCACCACTCCACCTCCTACCCCAGCCTGAACCAACTCCCCTCTGGCACGCCCACCTGTGCAAATGCAGAGATACCCTCTGCCCCTGGCTGCCTCCCACCCAGTACGAGGCTACCCAGGAAGGATCTCAAAAGACCGACCTTTGAGATACGTTTCTTAACTGTCTGGTTTTTCTATGTTCATGCCTAACTACACAGAAACACATGGGAGACGTAAGATATGTGTCTGATTAGAACTAGAGAACTCAGGAAGTAAGTTCAGCATAAATAGCCAGTGACCCTTAATCTTCATTCAGGAAATGTTATCCCATTTGTCCTGATGGGCGCGTGTTTATGGTGGGCCCTGGCTGACATTTCTTCTCTGCATCACGTTATAAAGCCCCAAATGTCAAACAACTTCCTCCTCAGTCCGGTTTGTGGTTCAAGAATAAATAAATATGCAAATGGTTTTAGAGAGGGAAGAATTTTTATGCAAAAATAGTTTGGTTTGAAATTCTTTGCCAAGAGAGAATATTTTAGGAATAGTTGCAGACCAAAGGTGCTGAGTAATATGGAATGGGAAAGAAAGAAGCCCGAAGTCTTTCGGGTCATAGATGGACTCTTGATGATGTAGGTGAACGGATCACAGAAACTCCGCAACTTTATTTTTCATTCATTCGTTCATTTATATATAGACAGAGTCTCGCTCTGTCACCCAGGCTGGAGTGCAGTGGCGTGGTCACAGCTCACTGCAGCCTCAAGTTCCTAGGCTCAAGCAATCCTCCCGCCTTAGCCTCCCAAGTAGGTGGGACGACCTACAGGTACACAATACCACGCCCAGCTAATATTTTAAATTTTTTGTGGAGATGGGGTCTTGCTCTGTTGCCCAGGCTGGTTTTGAGCTCCTGGGCTCAAGCAATCTTCCTTACTAGGCCTCCCCAAATGCTGGGAATACAGGCATGAGCCACCATACCTAGAACCTGGCTCCTTTAAACACTGCAAAAAAGCTATTAATAGATCTTCCAGGATTGGCCAGGGAGGAGGAGTCTCCAGCCTCTTTTGAGAGTCCAGTGGGGATCGTAAGGAATCTGTGATCTTTCTGGGTTAGTCCTAGTTAGACGGTGTGCTGTGGGCTTACTCTCTACAGGTGGCACATTGGGCCGTTTGAATGCAGGTAGGCGAATGCAGAGCTGTCTGTTTCTGCAGGCATGTCAGCGGGACTCTAGGGCTTGAATAACCTGTATTCCAGCATAATTGCTCTACGATCCACTTTCCTTCAAGTTGGCCTTTCAGAATCCTAGTGCTATTGTTGCTTATGTTGCACAGAGTGGAGTGTTTAAGGTTTCTTGGATTCGAATCCTGACTTCCCCATTTACCGTGTGATCCTCTCAGAGTCTAAGTCTCCTCCCATGTAGAACGGGGCTGATTAGAACAGAACCCGCAGTTACCAAGATTCAGGGACTTCATTCTTGTAAAGCCCTTAGAGCTGCCGCACCGTGAATGTTCCAGAAATGTAACTATTGTTTCTATCATGTGCTTGTCTGCTACTGTTTTGAGTGAAGGGGTTTATGTTCTTAGTGTTTAATCGTCTCCATCCCGTCTTGTTGATTACGTGTATAACCACAGCCACCTGTGCTATTATTGTCAACTCACTAGCAACGAAGATAGTATTAAAAAAAATTTTTTTTAAACAATGAGCCATTTGTGTTTTTCTTAAGTAGCTCTCAACAAGCAACCACTGTCCCCTTCACCTGTGTGTTGCCTGTTGTTGGACATTATCATTTTTGTTATACTGAGGGCCTGTGGAAAGGGTATTTGGTTACCAAATAAGACTTGAGACATCACGTTCCACCATGTTCTTGGTCCAGACGGCGTCGATCACCATTCAGAAGTATTAAGGTAGCTTTTCATTAGCTCTCCCCACTGAAAAATGATCAGACCGTCCAATTTCAGTAGCCCTCCCAGCATTCACCGCGTTTTCATGAGAAAGAACGTGATGGAAAGCTTGTTAGTGACAAGTATTTTTTGCTTTATTGAAATTCTTTCTTACAAAAAGGTCTGGTCTGATGCATTTGGGGCCAGGCCTAATTTCCTTTAGTCCCTGAAACACAGATCCATGGTCATCTCCATGTCCTCTTACGTGGGTATGTAAACTAGTAGACTTTCATTTTTAAGGTTCAAACGCTTTTCAACATTGTTTTCATTTGATGTAGAACGAGACTCCTGCTTTCCCGAATGAAAAGCCCGAGAGAGTTACCCGGCTCTCCACTGGTGGAGTGACTGGACTCCTCGCCAGAACCGAGCTGGGAATTTATTCTGTTCAATGTGACATCTTTCCACCTGTAGTATTTTTTAATGCAAACTTTGCAATGTGTTGAGCTTCGCAGTAAAGAGTGCTATGTTTATATATGCGTACGTATATCGGCTCTGGAAGAAGATGCATGAGTACATGCGTGTTATGTAAACATAGCAGTCGGTCAGAAGGAAAGGTTCTCGTCACTAGGACGGTAATGAGTAGCAAGCGTATTGCAAGCGAGAATGAATGACCGAGGGCACGTATTGGCTTAGCTGTCAGCCAGGAACTTTGCTGTCCTACACCGGCAGGGGCCCAGGCCTCACTCTCCCGGGCAGGCTGATCGATGCTCACCTGATTTGACGGGTGATCGTGTGTCCGAGGCCTGTGGGTCTGTGATTCCCCCACAGCGAGGTGGGTCTGCGCTCATGTGCTACCATGTAGCGACCCTAGTTCTAGAACAAGAACCCGGCTCAACCTCGTCCTTGTGTAAAAAGCGGGCTGTGCTCTCCCTGTCACTAGGAGGGGAGTGCAGACAACGAATCCGCAGGGGCCCGAGGGCCCTTACCCTTCCCGGAGGTTACAGGGAGTCCTCTCTTCCTCCCACCCCTGTAGGATCCAAGTACAGTGTTTTCCTGACCACAGATTCACACCGGAAGAGGCTTGGAAGGTACAATATTATCACCTCCAAACAGCTCTGAGACACAGGGCACTCGGCTCTCCCCTGACTGCCTGATGACGGAGCATCGGGCTCGGTTAAAACGGGCAGCTCCCGTGTCACCCTCCAAATCGTCTCCCCCTACGCAGATGCTAGGCCTGGAAGCCACTCACATCTGATCTTGTGCTCACACGCTGTAGGTTCCAGAACACACAACTTTCTAGTCGCGCATGTCTTGCGCCCAAGCTTCTTGCTCAGGCCTAGGAAAGACACATTAAGGTTCGGCTGGGAACACAGACTCCGTCATTCTGTCTTCTGACTTGTGGGCCGGGGGAAGGGCCAGTTAAGTGCTGCCTGGAGGTAAGGTCTTCCCCGGACTGACGTGCCTTGGACCAACACAGCAAAGCGGATAGATGAACTTAGCACCCAAGATACCGTTTGGCGCACCATGGTAGTCATTCGATGTTGGTTTCATTCCCCGTCTCCAAATCTAGTTGGATTCCTGGGGGGACCTGCATTTCCCTCCCACTCCTACAGCTGGCTTCCCCCGCGTGTCACGTCCCCAGACCAACACACGGCGTGCAGAGGCAGAGTGAGGGGGGAAAACATGTCATTCAGTGTTGCCTCTTGCTGGAGAGGAAGATAAACTCTTGGCCTAGCTGAGGTTTGGGAATTATCTGAAGAGTAAACGATCCATAGTATGTCTCATCTCCACTGAGGCACGTGTCTCTGACATACTCTCAGCATCCACCTGCAGCTAACAGACCCAAAGGAGCACGACGGCTACTGGGGCCCGGCGCGCGTGTTCAGAAGGCTGGGCGGAGTCGCGACCCAGCTCTCCATGCAGGAACCTGGTGGCAGGGAGGGACGGTCAGTAGATCCCAGAGTCACACTTCGGAGCAGTCGTCCAAGAGGAGAATGTCGACAGGCCCCCACGGCCCTGGGATAGGGGTCTGAGGGCTGGGAGGGCTGGACTGGGCGGGGCAGGGGTGTGCGCAGGTGGCCCAAGCCACGCCCCCACCCCAGGGATGCGGGAAGGAGGCTCGGCGCAGGGCCCCAGCCCCAGCTTTCAGTATCTATTGCACGTCACCCCGGCATCCTCGGCATGACCACAGTTTGTTACCCCCCATTTGGAGAAGCTGCAGCGGAAGATGGTGTCCTCTGTGCCCTTGCAGGCGACGTCGTCCATCCAAATCCTCCCCGTGCCTGCAGAGACAAGTCAGCACAGTTTCTCAGCAGGTGCGCGGGCGGCCGGGGAGGGGAAGAAGGGGGAGCATGACTGTGTCTGCCCTTGACCAGGCTGGCCCCGGCTCTGCCGGCCCAGCTCGAATCTGGGGCCTTGCAGCTGCCCTCTCCCCCCCACGGAAACCCCATATTTATTTCTAGGTTCAGTTTCTCGAGGGCAGAATCCCCCTAATCCATGGTGGTGTCGGCAGTATCTACTACTGTCTTCTGCATGTCAGGCATCTTACACATATGTACTTTCTCTGTCCTCACCATGGTGCTGTGAGGTAGGTATTCATAAACCCATTTTATAGATGGGAAAACTGAGGCTCAGAGAGCAACCAGTGCAAGGTCGCTCAGCATGTAAGGTGCAGAGTCTGAACCCAAACCCAAGTCTTGCTGCCTCCCAAGCCCGTGCTTTGTGTGAGACGCTGCGAGCGTGTGAGATGCATTATCACGCGGTGTTGTCAGGCAGGACCTAACCAGAGGGACAATGTCACACTGATCCTGGACTGTCCCAGTGCCCCAGAGCCGAGCCTGTCAGTCCCGGCATCACTGCTGATCTTCTGAGGATTAAAGCAGATGGGCTCATTCTGTCACCCCGGCTCTAGAGCGGCAAGGGAGCCGGAATTTCACACGAAAACCAGACGTAGATTTAAGGATATACAGGAGCATCCCTATGCCATGAGAAATTAGGTTAGTTCTCTGCGTACAAGGTCCCTAAGACAATCTGTTTGACAGCTTTCCCTGCAGCCAGCCCTGTTAACCCAGCTCCTAAGGGGACCAACCGGCTGGTGCGAAGGTGCCACGCAGGTGGCCCTGCTGCTTTCCCGGGCTCCCCCGCATTTGCACCTGAGTCTATGAGGCACATGCTCGGCCCTGAGGTCGCTCAGTGAACACCAGGGGGACAGGGCAGCTGGGCAGCCCCTGAGAGTGAATGGAGAGGGCTTGTCTAGGGTGAGGGGGGCATTAGAAAGGGGAGTGGGCTGCACAGACGTCACCGCGAGGCCCCACTGAAGAGCTGGTGGGTCATCATCCGTGATTCTGGTGGGTTATCATCCGTGGTTCTGGTGGGTTCTCTGGGCTGATGGCTGTGCCTGGCCCCAGATAAGTGGGAGCCCATTCAGAAGCCTTCTGGAAGGATCCCTGAGCCCCAGGGGTCCCATGGAAGCAGCGGCTGGAGCCTCAGCACTCAAAGTGAGGTGCTGGACCTGAGGCATAGGCGTTACCGGGAGTGTGTTAGAACCGCAGGACCTCGGGGCCTGCCCGAGTCAGCATGTCTATCTTGGCAAAGTGGCCCGCACTGCAGCCTGGGCGCTGGCGAGAGCAAGAGCAGGGCCGTGCAGCAGGACATGCCTCGGTTCAAGTCTCCACCATCTGGGTTGCGCCATCTGGGGCGACCGTGCCCGTTTGCAAACTGGGAGGGGCTTCCCAGGGTGCGGGGCTCCCAGCGCCAAAACAGGGAAAGCTCCGGGCAAACCGGGATGGCCGGTCACCCCAGCACCTCACCTGTTAGCGCTGTGACCTGGCACCAAAAAGCACAGGGTCAAGGGTCACAACCCGGGTTCCAGCATCTCATTGAGCAAGTCAATGAGGCAGCAGCTCCTGCACGGGGAAGAAAGGGCCTTGGCGTCCACCAAAGCCTAGGGAAGAGGAGCTCCGAGCAGCGGACAGCCCCTCCTTCCCAGCAGAATCGTCAGGGCCACCAAAGCCTTGGACCCTGCCATCCACTCCTGCCTTGCACGGGCGAAATCCCTCACAAAGAACATCCAGGGCACATCTCGGCCTCCTCACCGCGGACTGCATCTACCGCGCGCACTAAGTGGCTTAGACGTCTTTTGGTTATGGAGGGATTTTCAGCATCTGTTGTCATGGGATTGCTGTGGAGTGAATTTGGGGACAGAGCAGGGAGGGGCGGCCTCCTTCCGCCACCTTCTTGGACGTTGTCCCTTTTCCAGAGCCTCCTCCTGGCCCGGGTAGCCGTGGCTCTTACACAATAAGCCCTTTGAGGCAGAGAGCAATAATTTGCAGATTAAACGTCTCCTGGAAAACACATCAGTTTACAAATTACCCAGGAAGAGGCTGCAGGCCCCAGAGCTCTGTGGAATTAGTCACACCCAAAGCAAATACAGGAGAACGACAAAGAAGGAGCAGGCCCAGGGTCACCCAGCCCAAATGCGTATATAGGATCTCGAAACTCAACTCTAGCTGGGGTGTGGCCAGGGAGTTCTGGCTCATGTCCCGTCATGGACGGGCCAGTAAAACGGAACAGGGTCATTAAGTGAGCGGCACCGAATCTCTGCAGTGACAACAGCAGCGCGGGCATCACTGACGGAGAGAAGGAAGAGGCGGTGGGTGTAGCCGGGGCTGGCAGGGAGGGCACCAGGCGGCCGTGGCTGTGCCTGGTCCCCATGTCCCCCTGTGTACCATTAGTGACACCTGGCCTGCTTCCCAGCCAAGGTCTTGAACAGCACGTGAGCGAGGTCAGTGCACTATGATGGGGACATAAAGGTGCAAATTTGACGCATCCATGGATGCGGGTCCGGCTTCCACGGACCAGTTTAAAGAATCGAGTGGCAAGTTCAGAGCTTCCCCACTCGTGTTAGGAGATATAAAAGTCGGGGGAATGAAAGAGGCCACGACGTCCACGGGCCGGCCCGGCGCTGGGCTGCCTTTCACCAGCTGGCAGCTTCACCTGTGGCCTTCAAACTACCTATTTTGCCTTCTTGGAAAAAATTTATGATTTTTTTTTTTTCTAAAAACATTTCACTTCCATTTAAGTTCCCCAAGCTCTCTGTGCCTTGGTTTCTTCATGTGAAAACCAGGGATGGAATCTGTGTCTCCTTCCTAGCGCTGTGTGGATGAGACGAGTGGATATTTGCAACGTGTTTAGAACATAGTTCTGTGCAAGTGTTAAGTAGTAACAAAACTGTGACAGAGGCAGGAGAGAAGTTACAGAGATCTGAAGAGCTGGCCAGGCGGGAGACCAGATCTGCGCTGGAGACAGGACGGGGGAACCGGGGCCCGCACGGGAAACGGACGGGAGACAAGACGGAGATTCAGGGGAAGGAAGAACATTCTAATAATCAGAACTATCTGAAGACAACTGGAGACAGTTGCCTAGGGGACAGCGAGTTCCCGCTGCAGAAGTATCCGGGGACAGGCCAGGTGACACTTGGCGGAATCGCAGTCGAGGGGACTCAGGCTCAGGAGCCGGCCCCGTCCTAGGACCCGGAGCCTTACCTTGCCCGAATCGGGCCGTCCGGTACACCTCCTCCACGCCGCGGAAGCCCAGCATGCGGCACACCACGTCCCCGTCCTTCTTGTCCCAGCCGTCGTCGCACACGGTGCCCCAGCGCCGGTCGTGGTACACCTCCACGCGGCCCTCGTGCGGGCCCGAGCCGTTCACCAGGCGGATCAGCATCGGGGCCTCCACGACACCTGCAGGGAGCAGCGACCGTCACTCCCCAGCTCTGGCACAGCCGGGCTGCCCCGGGACCTCCTCTGACTCCCCTCCCCCCCCAGGAAGAGGGGTAGAGAGACTGGGGCTCCAGCCATGATAGGACCTCAGCCCCTAAATCGCTCTGTGTCCCTCCTGTCCTCTGTCAGCCTTCCCCCTCTCCCCGCCTTTTTTTCAAGAGTTTTTCTAAAGAGCAGTTTTAGGTCCACAGCAAAGTCGAAAGGCACAGAGAGTCCCCATCCACGCCCCAGCCCTCCACAAGCACAGCCTCCCCCACTGCCAACACCCCCCGGAGTGGAGCATTTGGCACCATCGCTGAACCCACGCTGACATGTCACTATCACCCGAAGCCCAGAATTTACACCAAGGTCCCTCCTGGTGTTGTGCGTTCTGTGCCTTTGGACAGACGTATGATGACGTGACTTCATCATTACAGAATCCTACAGAACATTCTCACCGCCCTGAAAACCCTCTGTGTTCCCTCTGTCCCTCCCTCCCTCCCCAGCCTGTGGCAACCCCTGATCCTACTGTCCGCTCACTTTCGCCTTTTCCACGACGCCACGCAGCCGGACTCACACAGAATGGGGCCTTTTCAGATTGGCTTCTTTGACTCAGTACTATGCATTTAAGTTTCCTCTACAACTTTTTATGACTTGATCGCCCATTTCTTTTTAGTGCTGAATAACATTCCACTGACTGGAGGTCCCACAGTTTATCCCTTTACCTACTGAAGGACATCGTGGTTTCTTCCAAGTTTTGGCCGAGATGGATAAAGCCCGAGTCATTTGGATGACTACCCAGGGGTGAGGCTGCTGGGCCGCTCCACCGCCGGACACCTGGTGACCAGCAGCGGCTCCTGCCAGGGAGGAGGGTGTGGGGGAAAAGGAAGCCAAGGAGTGGTCGAGGCTTGTGGCCAGGTGGCCTTGCTGTGTCCTCTGATCAGTCATTCACGTGCGCTTTCCCAACAGGCTGTGAGCGTGCACGCGCTTTAAGCCAGACAGAGTCGGGTGCGAATTCTGGCTCTGCCACTGACTATCCGTGGGAGACAGCGGTTCATCAAATCTAAAATGCCAGCGGTTGCACGGCGCCTCGCTGCTTTATACGCTACCAGGAATTATGTCAATTGCCGGATGCGTTCTCATTTCGTGGCTGTGAAAATGAGCGTCACAGAATCGATGAAATGCGGCACGCCTGGCACAGGACGGGCTCTTTCCACCTGAATGACCTTAAGGAAGCCTCCCCGCCTCTCTGAGGGCATTTCCCCGACTGTGACGTGGGGACAACACCGTGTGGCAGGACCGTTGTGCAGACACACCAAGGCCAGGCACACAGGTTCCCAGCATGACCCCGGCAGGCGGCAGCATCAGCGACGCGGTTTGCCACCTTCCCTGAGGGCTCAGCGCGGTCACGTTCGCCTCTGAACTCGGCGTCGGGCACAGCCCGGCAGGAGAAATGAACAGTGAACGTTTGCGGAGCGGAGCAGGCGGCGAAGGTGCATTCCTGTGTCTTACAAAGCACGGCATTAGTTCTCCAAGGGGAACTTTGCGGGGACTAAAGAACACCGCCGCAACCAAAGGAAGCCTTCAACTGGATGCAAAGCCAGGCTTTGGCTGGAGTCCTCGTTTTAGGGCGATACACACGGTCGGGGCCAGGGTAAGGATCACAACTTGGTCTCTTGATGTGTCTTCCAACATGTTCTTCACCACCCTGCCCCGAGGGCTATGTCCCCCCGGGGGACCTGAGCTTTCTCACTTGACAAGACACTGGAGTGGTCAGTGGGTCTGGAGTCTGGCCGCACTTCAAAGTCATGAGGGATGCCAGATTCCCGGGATGGCTCAGACCTACTGCATTAGTTTGGTGGCAGGAGGCAGGGTCTGGGTTTTTCCAAGTATGCCGGGTGGTTTGGAGGTAACTGGCCCGTGGACGAGCGTTTGGGAGAGATGGACTCCGTGATCAGTAAGGCTCCTTCCAGCTTCAACCCTCTGGGACTCCAAGGCCAGGCAAGAGGTCAAGATCGTTCTTTTTCGCAGCCAGAAACCACCAAAAACTTGAGGGGAGAGGGTGGTGGACCCTGAACTGTGACCCGTGATAAGTGGGTCACGCAGTACAGGAAAACCCCCTCGTGAACTGCCAGAGAAAACAGCAAACCCGCGAGAGTGCTGCTCCCAGCGGGCACTGCACCCTTGGACTTCTTTCTCTTTTCTCTGGCAAGGCGGGCTGGGGACTCCCCTTCTAATGGCTGTGACTTGGGAAAGACCTTCACCCGCTCCTGCGGGAGATGGCAGCACCGACATCTGTGCCCCCAAGAAAGGAGGGAACTCAGAACTAGCCACGTGCCTGGGCTAGGGAAACCCCAGAACGTTCTGCGCAGGGGACCAAGGAACCACACCATCCCCAAGATGCTGGAAGACTGCAGCGTGACGACTCTGAAAGGCCCCTGTCACTATTTAGTGCACTGGCTGTGGATCCTTCAGCCCGGACCAGGTAACCCTTCTCCCCGTAAAGACTGACTGCAAGCACAGACTCCTGCAGGCTGTCAAAAAACAGGCCGAGATGAACAACAGAACATAAAAATCCTGGAGAAGGAAAACGTGGAGAGAGGCTGGAGTCCAGAGGCCGGGGCTGACACACAGAGACTCCCTGGGAGCTGTCAGGACAAGCTAACCTGGAGCCGGCAGCATCCGGAGAGGCCGGCTGCCGTGTGGGGGGTTGGCCCTGGGGGGCTAGGGCTGAACCAGCAGCCCTGGCTTCTCACAGACCCCCTCTGCCCCCTCCGTGTCACATGGCAGGGGGCCAGGCCACGCCAGGAGGCCCAGAACAGAAGCTGCAGTGTGGGGTCAGTGAGTAGGGCCGGAGGTGGCAGGAGAACGCCACAAGTCCCAGCTGGCCAGCCTCGGCTCACTCTGTGCACTGGCTTTTCACCCAAGTGAGTGAGCGAGGGTCTGCGGGAGAGCTGTGGACACACGCGTGAGCAAAGTCCCTGCCTGCATGGAGCCGCCATTCTAGGGGGAGACTAGCAGTAAGGCGAGTAAAGAAGCAAAAGCCAAAGCCGTGGCCAACTGCGGTAAAGGCACAGGCAGGAGTGGGGGCAGGGGGCGTGAGTGGGGGGCCAGGGCAAGCGCCCCTGGGTGGAGCGGAGACCTGAGAGCTAAGGAAGGACATGGACTCCCCACCTCACAAGAACCCCTGTCTTCCCTAAGCTTTTCCCGTCCTACAGATCTCAGCTTAGATGTCCCTTCTCCCAAAAAGCCTTCCCTAGCCTCCACACCTGGCCACGGCCCCTTCTAGGGACATACTTATTGCTTCGTCTCATAACTGCCTCTTTGCTGTCTTGGGACACGGGCAGCATCCCCCCAAGGATCACATGCCGGATATGGTCGGTGCCTGGTGCGCTGAGGTGCCCGGCTGCACGAACTAAGGTGTGCATGCCCTGACAAATTCAGCCAATGACAGGGACCCAGGCGGGCAGGTGCTGTCCGGAGGACACGTCTCCCCAGAGTCTGGGGCTTTGAGCTCGTCACTACATCACAGCCCTTCTAGTCGCTTGCTGGCTTCTCCTTGTGACACGGTTCTGGTTCTGGACCCACAGCTCAGGCTGTGGGCACAATGACCACACATTCCAAATGACAGAACAGGGATGTGGTCTGTCATATGATTATGGTGGGTGCTGGCGGAAGTCTGGGAAATGTCATTTGGAGGCTGAAATATTGAAATTCCCAGGAGGCTTCAATGTATATGGAATGACAGAAGCATATTTGGCAACAGAACAACTTTAAAACATGTAAAACATATGGTAACCATCATGACGGGACTCAGAGTATCAACTGCAAGGCCCAGGGCCCGAGCTCCCCCTGCACCAGGCAAAGTCATGGCGCCCAGGACTTCCCATGGTCCCCTAGTAGGGGACCCCCCGCACCAGGACCACGTTGATCCCAGGGGCTGACAAGTGCCCACAAGGGGGAAAAAGAACCAGTGAGCCCACCCTGCTGAGGCTGGAAGAGGCACCACCCACCAGACCCCAGTGTCGGTTCATTGGGCACGGGAGCCTCCTCCTCGTCATGTGTCCCCAGACCCCAGACCCAGGGCTCCCCCTCATGGGGCAGCACCTCCTGCCCACGGGGTCAACGAACGCTGCCTGCCCAAAGGGGGCAAAATGATCCTGAAAGCCACATCATCTCCCCTAGACTCACGCAAATCCGATGGCACATTTTGTTCTAGCTCCGTCTCACAGAGCATAGCCCTGAGCTGCAGTTCTTTGCATCCTTCTCCCCCACTCACAAACTCTCAGCTGCCGTCACCTCCCTGGGAACCGCAGACTGAGGTTTGATCTGCTTACGGCATAGACTGCCCTGATTCAGGAACTCAGATGTCCGAGGGGCTGTTCCACCAACAGTGTCTCTGGCCTCCTTTGCCCTGAAGAGCCACGGCGGTGGGGGGGCGGGGGCGGGTGGTGACAGGCAGGAGCCTTCCCCAGGCCTGAGCAATGATGCCACCTCTAGTAATGCGCTCGGGGAATCACCAAACACCCTCCAACAGCGACCCCCTCTCCAGCCTGAGAAGGACGTCACGACTTGTTTAGAGGTTTAGGTTTCTGTGGGCAGAGGGTTTAAACTCTGCCTCTTCCCAGCAGTTTCTGCCCCGGGGCAAAGCTTTCCCACCAAGCCACCAACCACCCGCGGAAATGCTCTCGCCCGCAATGCGTCAGCCCCGACTTAATCAGACGGGTGCCTGAAGGGTGACCTCAGCCTGGTTTGCAACCCCCTCCAGGACACTTCTTGTTAGTCCAGGGAGCTCAGATGCCCTGCCAGGGTGGTCCCTGCAGGGCACTGGGGCTCCTTGTACGTGACAGCGGAGGAAACGGGAGGCAGGTTCCTGACTGTCTAAAACTCAGGCCTGTAGCAACAGGGGACAGTCTAGTAAGAGGGCAAATGGCGAGGGTGCTCACGAACGATGGGACCCAGGCTTCCGACACTGCAGCCAC